GGGCTCGATCCCAGGACCCTGGGACCATGACCTGAGCCGAAGGCAGATGCTTAAGGACTGAGTCACCCAGGTGCCCCCATCTTATCTATCCTTGACTTCCCTGAATCACTTAAGACAGTGCATTGCACATAACAGATTCCCAGTGAAGACATGCTGACCTTGGTTTAATGTCACACAGGGCACAGATAGTATTCCATTAAGATGATTGTCTTACCATTTTGTGCATTCATGCCTGGCTTTTCAGGAGCACATGGCCTTCCAGAGAAGACAGGAGGTGCTCATGGAACATTTGCCTCATGAATAAGTGCAGAGTCATGACAGTGAATCAATAGTAGATTCGGTGTGGGGAGTTGGTGAGCTTATTCCATAAAGAAATTCTAATTTTATTTTGTGTCTTGATTTTTGTGGTGGGTGGGACTGAGCAGCCAACAAGGAGAGCCTGCCAGAACTGAGCACAGCTCAACAGAACAAGCTGAAACACCTTACCATCGTGAGCTTGGCGTCGAGAATGAAGGTACAGTGCCGAACCTCTTCCTGTCTTGCTCCTCACTGGTGTCGGTGCCCGAGCTCCCAGCTGTGCATAGTAGTCATACCATGAATGCATAAAATTGGCTTGGCAAAGCACAACAGAGATAAAGATAACCATTAAAATAGTGTAGATAATTATTCACCATTTCATTCAGGAAAAGTATGCCCAGGAGACCTTGTGAATCAGCAGCTCTCAGTTCTGGCATGCTGCAGTGACTCACTTGGTGTGAGCATTTTGCTATACCAAAGGGAGACTGCTGTTTCAAGATAGGTAGTTTTTCAGATGGGAAAACTTTGCATCTCAAGGCAAGTTAACCACTTCATCTGTTGCTTAGTGCACAGTGAACTGTGCCAGTGCTGGAGGAAACATTTGCTCTATTGGACTTACTGAGAGCTAGATTTTTAATATGCTGCCTTCTTCTGGGGATTGTCAAGCTTAATTATCTTAATAAAGATTTTTGCCTTACATGCTCTCTTTAGACGCTCACCTTCTGTAAGATAACCACTCCAGCATATCTCTTAGTTCTCTGCCCCACTCCATTTAGAAGAGGCCTTGCAGCCAGCTTCTCGTAGCCATTAACAAAGAAGATCCAGATTTGGTTAATTTACAGTTGATTTTGGCTCTCTGCCCAATCCCAGCATAACTGTCTAAGTTTTTGTGGGGCTTTGCCACTGGAAGAGGTTTGCCCTTTGCATTTCCCCTCTGTGACTGAGCTTGAGAGATGTAGATTTGTTCTTGCATTGCCATTTCAGTTGCTGAGATCATTTTCCCTTGGTCTAATAACAAATTTCTGATTCTCAGCCTGGCATTTCGGGTGGGAGGCCTGTTTTCTTAGGAAATGAGGACTTGACCCTTTTTTTTTTTTTGGCCTGATCATGGACTTCCCAAGTGTAGCAAAGAGTAGGAGTAACTTTTTTCCTTATTTCTGCAATCTGTCATTATAAGCCCATCTACATCCCTGAGTTTCAGACCTTTAGTCATAGAAAACCCCTCTAGGTATGTTTGCTGTTATTCTCTTGTTTGTATACCTCTTTGTCCTGTCTGTTTTTGAGATTTGATTGCTGTATTAACCTCCAAACTAGTAGTGATGTGTCCAGAAAACTAGATATTTAGATATAGAGTTGTCTTGGATAAATGTAAAGTGTTGGTATAGCCCAATAAGGGACTGCTTTTGGGGAATTGACATTGATTGTAAGAGTCTGAGAAAACAGATGTAAACTTCAGGATGACCCCTGAGTTGGCAGTACCCACTGGCCACCTGTACATAGATATGTTAGCCTGCAAATTTTTTTGCTTGTGCTCTCCTGGGCAGGCAGCCGGTTCTCTTCAGTGTCTGAAATTGTGTGGGAGTTTTATGGTCTGGCATTTTATGTCAAGTCTGCAAGCTTCCAGAAGGTGGTAGAGTGGTACACACTGAGTATTCCCCTTTCTCTTCTGGGACACTAAGAGTGCCTCACAACATCAAAGCTAAAGGCTGGGTGAAGCCCCGGAGGTAGAGAATCTAGGAGAATGCATTCCTAGATGCTGTGGGTCTTGTTTCAATCCCATAGGTCTCACAGCTCACATTTATCTATGTCTTGTTGCCATAGTTATTAATAATTACCACCAGACTGCATTTCCCAAACCCTTGAGACAGGTGTACACCTGCATTTTCTTTAGCGCTTGTCAGTGGTTTTTGTAAATATCACTTGGCTTTATCTGCAGTGTATCCCCTACTCCGTGCTGCTGAAGGACCTGGAGATGAGGAATCTCCGGGAACTGGAAGACCTCATCATTGAGGCTGTGTACACTGACATCATCCAGGGGAAGCTGGACCAGCGAAACCAGCTGCTGGAAGTGGATTTCTGCATTGGCCGTGACATCCGAAAGAAGGATATCAATAATATTGTCAAGACCTTGCATGAATGGTGAGACTGAAAGAAGGAGGGGTCCCCTCTCGTTAGGGAGGGGGACATATGGCGTGCCCTCTGTGCCTCTGCTTCGGGAAATGTTGTCTCCCAGTATCAGCTGGGGCTGCTTGGGAGCTGGAGCCTTAGGACAGTAAGCCAGGGAGTGGGGCTGCATTTGTGACCAGAGCTGTGTGGCAACAGGAATCGCTGCAGGCCTCCCAGGGCCTTAGTTGTAAAATAGTTCTCATCCTGCTGCAGCGGGGGGACTGTTTAATAGCAGGCTTGGCAGGTGGAGCCTCTGGAGCCTAGCCATGTGACATGGATCCAGTGCTTTGCAAACTTAGCCTCCGAGTTTGACCAAGCTCAGGAAGTTAGTGTTGATCAGATTCTGTGGATACGAGAACTCACGTTCAGCCTCAGTAACTTTGGGCTAGTGTTGGTAAAACATTGTGAGGGATAGTGAAGAGAAGGAGTGGGTTATTCTAAGTTGGAACACAGACGCACACACAGACTGTTTGATAACCATATTCTGGTATATAAAAAGAAGTGGGACATTTGTGGGGCGCCTGGATGGCTCAGTCGTTAAGTGTCTGCCTTCGGCTCAGGTCATGATCCTGGGGTCCTGGGATCAAGCCCCGCGTTGGGCTCCCTGCTCAGTGGGGAGCCTGCTTCTCCCTCTCCCACTCCCCCTGCTTGTGTTCCCTCTCTCGCTGTGTCTCTCTCTGTCAAATAAA